CCACAGATCCATGTGAGTCAGCACAGGGAAGGTGGGCACCCACAGATCCATGTGAGTCAGCGCAGGGAGAGTGGGTAGCCACAGATCCACGCGAGTCAGCACAGGGAGAGTGGGCATCCACAGATCAACGTTGAGTCAGCACAGGGAGGGTGGGCGTCCACAGATCCATGTGAGTCAGCACAGGGAGGGTGGGTGTCCACAGATCCACAGATCCACGTGAGTCAGCGCAGGGAGGGTGGGTGTCCACAGATCCATGTGAGTCAGTGCAGGGAGGGTGGGTGTCCACAGATCCACGTGAGTCAGCGCAGGGAGAGCGGGTGGCCACAGACCTAGTGAGTCAGCATAGGGAGAGCATCTGTCCACAGCTCCATGTGAGTGGTCGTGGTGCACAGAGCCAGGCTGATTTCCCCCATGCCTCGTCAGTATCCATTCCACCAGGGCCTCCTATGATGTGGCCCTTGCAGGCTGCCTGGCTCCACTGCTTTTTACAGAGGCCTGAGCAGTGACTCCCATTACACCTGGGAACACCCACGAGTGAACTCTGTGAGGGATGACTCTGATGGGTGACCTCAGTACCCCTCATTTGTAGCTCCCTGAGAACCCTGTAGTTCTATCACTTCCTGACATTGGTCAGAGTTGGTGGCCTTGGAGACAGGCAAGGCAAGGGGCACTGGAGGAGGCTGCAGAGCCCGGGCAGCTGTTGGGTTGCTACATGGTATTTCAAGTGAGCCCAACCGGGGGGACAAAGATGGAGGCCCATGCTTGCACCCTGAAGGCTTCAGTCGTTCGGGAACACCTCTCCTCTGTACTCACAGCTCAGGAAAGCATGAGGGAGACCGGACAGGGAGAAGGTCACCCTCCCAGCACTGGCCTTGCAGATGTAGCCACCGCCAAGCACCAGGACCGCGGAGCCTTGACGGGGCATGGTCCAGGTTTGAGCCGGCAGACATGCCGAGGCTCCCCGTGAGCAGTGCGCCTCAGCTGGGGCTGGGCCGGTCCTGCAGACCCCGTGTGGCCATCCTCTCGGGAGCTTTGCTATAGTGCCTCCTCTGCTGCATGCAGGGCACATTCGTGACCACTCCACCCAGTGGCTTCCTGGGCAAACTCACAGGCAGGCACCGGCCTCCTTGGCCTCCATGGGTGCAGACGCTCACGCACTGCATGCCACCTGGCAGCTTCCACGAGGTGGGGCCCATGTGAGCCGAGCCAGATCATGGTGTTTCAGTCCACCTTGGCTGGGCTCCCACCCCTGCTCAGCTCCTACAGGGCCAGGCCACAGTGGTCATGGCTTTTGTTTCTGGGCGTTTCTGAACTACCTCACAAACCCCCACGTGCAACGCCTGTTCGCTCTTTTCTTCAAACTTCATTGGAAACTCTTGTGTAAACTGTCGGGTTGCTCTGCAAGGAGCGGACTGAGGCAGCCAAGGTTGCGCCCTGCCACGGCAGGGGGAGCCCGAGGGCCTGGGCCAGTCCGTGCTGCTGTCGGCCTCCACAGGAGCAGGGCCTGGCCCGGGGCCCCAGCCGCTCCAGATCTCACACAGGATGCGAGACAAGCAGTGGCCTTGTCTCTCATAACGCTGTCTCTGTCTCTCTCCTCACAGCCACGTACAAGCCGGAACTCCCAGGAAAGCAGTCCTTCCTCTACAACGAGGACAACAAGTGGATCCCGGTGCTGTAGAGACGGCATGCAGGCTCAGCCAGCAGCCCACCCCACCGTCTTCCCCCAACCTAGACATTCCTTCGAATGTCACACACGGCTGTCGTGTGACCTCTTGAGGCAGCTCTTCCTGGCAGCCTGGGGTGCTGGCGGCACCCCCTGAGTGGCCTCCTGAGCCGGCGCCCTCACCTGCTGGCCGCAGTGGATCCAAGCAGAGGTCAGCATGACAGAGCCCCCTGCTGGTGCCCCCACGCACCGCCAGGCTGGCTCCCTGCATGACTGCCCTCCACAGGCTCGAGGGGCTCCCGGAGAAGACTCCAGGGTGGCCAGCCATGGCAGAGTGCCAGCCTGGAACCTCGCGTGTGCTGCAGAGGTGACTGTGCAGGCGGCAGCCCAGGCACTGTCCCCTCCTCTGGCCTGAGCTCCCAGGCTTCCCTCTGAGTTCCAGGAGCCAAGAAGGGCCAGGGACCCCTGTCCCTACGTGAGGTTGGTAGGGCCTCTCAGCTGCCTCCGTGTCTCCCTTTTCAGAACCGCAATGGAAATGGGTCACATGGTCCCTCCTGCTCCCCTCCCCCAAGAGCTGTGACGTTCCTCCATTCCACAGCAGACGTGGCTGGGCCCCTGCTAGAGCCAGAGCCCTGCACCTGCAGGCCCCTTCCCGCCTGCCCCCTTCGTGGCCTGTCTCCATCCCCTCCCTGTCCACCGCCCCAGGCTCACCAAGCTGGCTACGGTCTTAAAGCATCTTCCTGGCCTGCTAGATCCCGCCCCCTCAGCACAAGGAGGAGATCCCCAAAGACCCCAGCTCCGGAACTAACAGCACTTCTTCCCCGGCCGTCAGTGCTCTCCCATAGTGAGCGTCTCCCCAGCCCGGCCCCCACCCTGGCTCCTACTCCTCTGCGTGGGACCTCTTGGGCCTTCCTGTTGGACCTGGCTGCTGACTGGCTCTCCTTCCAGGGGAGTGGCTGAAGAGGGAGCAGCATGGAGGGCCATAGCCGATTAAACAGGGTTCTTGCTTCTCACCACAGACGGCCTTGTGAGCTTCAGATTACTGCAAGGGCCCAGTGGCAGAAGAGACAGAGGAGGGCAGTGAGAAAGCACCTCCCGGGGCTATGAGCACGCTGCAATCCCTTCTCCTCTATCCTCTTCTCGGGGTTTTGGGCGCACATGTACACGTTCAGCTGTTTTGTTTTGTTTTTGAGAGGTTTTTGCTATAGGGCACGTGCGCTCACCAGAAAGACAGACACGAGAGACAGAAAGCGAGAAATCATCCCCCAGGGAGAATGGCCACGCCGCAATCCCTTCTCCTCCATTCTCCTCTCAGGATCTTGGGCACGCACGCACATGCGCCCGGCGTGAGTTTAAGCCATGGGGTTCAGGACTCGAACCATGGTCAACTACATGGGAGTCCAGTGACACAGCCATTATGCCAACTGCTGGTCCCAGCTTTTTGTTTGTTTGTTTGTTTTGCTATAGGGCACGTGTGCTCACTGGAGAGAGACAGAGATAGCAAGAAATCACCCACCAGGGGAAATGGCCATGCCACAATCCCTTCCTCCATTCTTCTCTCAGGATCTTGGGCATGAATGCACCCGGCATGAGTTTCAAGCCACGGGATCCGGGACTTGAACCGCAGTGGACCATGTGGGAGTCCAGCGATGTAACCACTACACCATCTGCTAATCCCCGGCTTGTTTTCAAGCCGCTGGACCCAGCATGAGAACCGTGCAGTTGGCCATGCAGGATTCAGCTGCCTGAGCCACCAGGCCACTGGCTGGTCCCAGCTGCCTTTCTAAAGTGACCACTTGTTTGGAAAGTCCCTTACTTGCCTTGGCTCCTGTCCCTGCGTCTCTCTGGAGTAGGTTATGGTGGAGTGGCAGCTGTGGGCGGGCGCCGCCCCTTCCTCCGTGGCTTTCTGTAAGGGTAGGGCTGGGCTGCCTCAAGGCGTGCAGGGCCTTCCTTGAGGTCTTAGTGGCCTTTTGCAGGCATGGCAGCCCTTGCCCTTTACCTGGAGAGGACAGAGACGTGTCCTTGCTGGCCCTGCAGGAGGCTGTGCAGGGGTGGGACACCCACCAGTGAACCCTGAAGTCCTAAAGACAATAGTCACCAGTGGTCAGTGCAGACCACGCCCTGCATTTCGTGGCCAAAGAGACTGAGGACTCCACGGCAGCGTGCTGGTGAGCCGCTCTCAGGGGCACTTGTCCCCTGGGAACTGACGGCTTTGGTTTGCAGCCTTTGTCAATACTGTGGTGTCAGTCCCCCCACCCTACCCCCCGTGTGGAGTTCCCATGGCCAGTACGATGGCGTGGGCTGTGCCGTCGCCCTTGTGAGCTGGCAGGAGCTGGCTCCAGGGAAAGTGACTCGGCCCAGGGCGTGGGGGCAGAGGTCACACAGCTCCTCCCACCGGGCTGTGCCCACTGGCCCTCACCGCCAGTTCTCGGCAAGGTCATCGCACACCCAGAGTCAACGATCATTAGATCCGGCCTTGGGGGGGACCACACAAGACCACGATCCTGCTGCCTCCCGGGGCGGGCGCCTCTGCTTCGCCTGTGCCCCGACTTACCACCGGCCTTCAAGCCCAGGGCAAAGGGTGTCCACAGAGCCAATGCCTGGGGACAGGAGGGGAGAGGCCACATCTCTCGACCCTCCCTTCCCAGAGGCTCTCACAGAGGAACAGACGTAGCATCTGCAGGAACACATAGGTAGGCTTTTATTACTAAATACCATGTGAGTATACAAAATGCAGTACTCAATAACAGCTAAAAAAATAGTCCAAGAAATGTGAAATACACATTTTTTGAAATGATAAAAATGTATCCATGAAAAATATAAAATGTTGCATATATATACAATATATACTTATATATATATAACATAAATGAAAACTGTAAATAAGAAATGTATACAGCAGCGAGTGGGCAAGACGGTCATTCTACACAGCAGTGGTCACTCTGCCCCAGTCCACTGGCTCCATATTTACACCCCGCGCTGGGCAGTCCGTGAGAGAGACGAGGTTTCCGCTGGGGTCTTCTGAAAGTCATTTGTGCTGGGAACGGAGAGTCTCCCTGGGAACGGAGAGTCTCCCTGGGAACGGAGTCTTCCTGGGAACGGAGAGCGAACTGGCCGAAGGGCGAGAGTCCTGAGTCAGATGTTGATGGAAGAATCAACAGTAGGGCCAGACCGGAGTGGGGTCAGCTGGCGCTGACTGGGGACAGCGGGCTCCTTCACCGCCCCGCGAGCGTCAGCAGGTCAGGCAGGCCCTGGGCACCGGCAGGTGGCTCAGGGAGATCCGAGCGTGCGGTAGGGGTTCCAGGCCCGGCATTAGTGGGGTTCTCACTTGAGGGCCCCTCCCCTCAGGAAGGCGTTCGAGTAAGAGCCTGAGGCAGGTGGAGAGGCCGCGGGCGTGGCTGCTTCCGGGCTGGCGCCACTCCGAGCAGCATGGAGCTGCTCAGGCCCTACAGCTCCTTGAGGGTGATCTGAATCTTGCCATCCAGCTCCCCCATGTCCAGCAGGAAGGCGACGTGGTTGCTGTAATGCTGAATGATGTTGTTGTCCATGTTGACCAAGATCCTGGAAGAGAGGGCGGTCAGCATGCAGCAGGGCCCGATGACAGGCTCTTGGCACCATGTGGACTCCAGTGACGGTCACCACCGCTGGTGTCAGGCACCTCACAAACTTGCCCTCTGGCCCCTCCAACAGCTCTGCAAGGTGGGCATTCCCAGAGCCTTCCCAGGGCGAGGCACGAGGCCCGAGGCCCGAGTGGACAAATCACAGCTACGGCCCAGGCCTCTGGCTCCCACTGCCCTGAGCACCTCTCCCAGAGCACTCGGAGCAGGGGTCTATGCAGCAGAGCCCCTTAGACACCCAAGCACGGCCGTGGGCAGGGAGCCTGAGCTCCATCCAGGAGGGGTGGTGGTTTGGGTTCAGTGGGAGGCTACGATGTGTCACTTAGGCGTGCCTGCCTGAGCCAGTCCTAGCTCGGGCCCTGAAACCGCAGTCTCAGGAGGGCTGTAAAACACACATGAGGGGCTTGGCCATCTTTCTCTCCATGCCATGGGCCAGGGCCTGGGCCAACCTGAGACGGACAGACCTCCATGGCTGTGGGCCAGCGCCTGGGCCAACCTGAGAAGGACAGACCTCCATGGCTGTGGGCCAGGGCCTGGGCCAACCTGAGAAGGACAGACCTCCATGGCTGTGGCCCTGCAGGGGAATGAAGCCAGAGTTCATGCCAAGGGAACCCTCGAGAAGCTGCTGCTTATAAAGGACCCACTAAGGCGTGTTGTGAGCAGATCACATCAGCTCCCCGCCCCTTCCCTGCCAGGTCTGCTCAGTAGTGACGAGGGTGGGCACTTTTGCCCATCTACCCCCCATCACGCACTCGCCCCAGTGCTGCGGAGCCCTTCTCTTGTTCTGAAAATGAGGGCACGGGGGGAACCAGCAGTTAGAGTAATGGCTATGTCGCTGGACTCCCACGTAGTCGACCGCGGTCTGTGTCCCGGACCCGGTGGCTTAAAATTCACGCCGGGCGCATGTGCGTGCGTGCCCAAGATCCCGAGAGGAGAATGGAGGAGAAGGGATTGTGGCCCTACATTTAAAATCTCTCCAAAAAAAAAAAAGAGGGCACGGGGAGATGAACCAGACCGAGCTCCCGCCATCCGGGAGCCTGGACCCTCAGAGCCATCCTGGGAACCCGTGCAGAGGGAAGCCAAGGCTGGAAGACGCCGTCCCCGCCTGAGGCGCAGGCCGTAGCCGGCAGAGTTTGGACTGGAGCCTAGCCCTGTTTTATAAGGAAATAGCAAAAGGCCCTGTAAGTACACGTTAGGGGGCAGCAGATGTAAGAAAGGCAAAATGCAGGCCTGGCAGAGCTCAGACCCAGCACGCCGCCTGGCAGTGAGCAGTGGTGGTGGGAGGACCCCACTGGGGAGGGCAGTGGGGACTGCAGGGAGCCCCGGGGAACAGCCAAGTGTCTGCCAACACCAGCCGAGCGCTGCTGCTTCAGGGAGAAGGCCGGGCTTGGCTCCCACAGCCCTGGGTGCTGACTGCCAGGGCCTAATTACAAGATCCCCTTTCCTCATCCTGCCTGGAGTTCCTTCTGTTCACAGAGGGATCTTTGTCTGGGGGCAGGACCTGGGAAAGGATGGGGGAGGGGCTTGACAGAGGGGTGGGCTCTGCCCACGTCAGGGCTGTCCTGCCGTTGCCCACTGGGTGCGTCTGGGTGCCGCCACCGTGCAGGTGCCTTCCGTGCACCAACTTGAAGGCCGACACCCTCTCACTGCCGCCAGCACCTCTCAGTGGGCCCGGAGCTCACATGTGCCCAGATGGGCCACAGGCCCACCCCTCCAGGTCACCGACAGAGGCCAGGGCCTGTCAGGGCCGCGTCACAGCATGCGGGCCTCCTGGCACTCCCCGCTCCTGGCTGTCCTCTGTCCCGGGCTGCATTACCCCTGGCCGGCTGCCAGCAATAACATATCTGCTTGCCCTCCAAACGCTTGGTGGTGCTCGTATAGCTGAGCGCAGCTACCTCTGTGCAGAGGTACTGGGGAGGGGTGTGTGACAATAAACTAGGCCACAGTGATGTCCTGCTCTCGAAGAGGACTCCGAGGGCCTCACGTGAGCCTGACCTGTCCCCTCTCAAGAGGTGCAGTGGGGAAGTCTCGTTTGGACATTTGGAGATCCCAGGGCTGTGGGGTGCTACTGAGGGACGCTGTCTGGGCTGTGGGGTGCCGGTGAGAGGCCCCAGTCTGTGGCACTGGCCTGGCCATTACTTGCATGGTGCTCAGCGGTCGAGAACAAGCAGGGGACGAGGTAAAAGGGTGGGAGCGGAGGCTTCGACGGGCCTTCCCCACCAGAGAAACACTCCCAGCAAGCTGACGCCCCTAGGGCTGGCTAGGAGGGACGGGTCCATGGCAATGATGACCTGGCTGGGATTTAAGGGAGCACCTCTTGCCACCTGGCCAGTGGGGGAAGGGGGGAGGGGCTGTGCACATACCCCCACACAGTGGCACACACAGCTGTTTCCCAGGCCAGCCTGGGGTGGGACTCGTGGGGGCCCAGGGGTGGGCTGGAGCTGGGCATGAGCCCTGTCATGATGCGGGAAGAGCGCTGGGCGAGTCTGGGCAAAGCAGAGCCTGCCCTCGGTCACCCATCACTCCAAAGGGTATGTGAGCCCATCTGAAACTGACACTGACAGAAAAATCACACAGACACAGAACTCTAGCACTCAAACTGACACAACCAAACGGACCCTCCCAGGGCTACCGAGACGGAGACCTCCTAGCGCCCCATCCTGTGGGAACTGAGGGAGAGAGGCAAGGCTGGGTCTGTGAGGAAGGAGGCTAGGTTCCTGGCCTGACTAGCGGGGCCTCTGCCCGAGTGCCAACCCTGCGTCACTTGGTAAGGCTGAAGAACCCACAGGCCACAGCCCCAGAGCAAGTACCGGAGCACCCAGGCTACTGGGAAGAAGGGCTTGAGGGGGACTGTCCAGGGTGGGAGGGCAGGTCTGTGCCATGGGTCGGGCAGGAGCTCCCAGGCCTGGTCCCAGCCCGTCTGGATCAGGAGCAGCAGGGACAGTTCTCACTGGCAAGGGGCCCACGCTGGGCTGGCAGGTAACCTCGTCAGGAAGGGCCCAGCTCAGTTCGGGAGGACAGTCACCAAGTGACGCTCATGGTTGGTGGCCAGGCACTGTGGGCCCTACAGGGTGCAGCCTGAGTCCCCCGTCTGTCCAGCCTGGAGCTCCCCACTGGACTCACTGCCAGCCACACCCTTCCTCCCTGTGCCTTTGCTCCACAGCTCCTGCCCCTGCACCTGAGCCTCGGTGTCCCTCTGTGGTCTCCATGTGTGGTGTGGTGTGATCGCTAAGGCAGTGTGCTGGCCCGGCCCTGGCACATGCTCGCAGTCACTGCAATCATTATGTCACCATCAAACAACCTGGTTTTCCAGTGGCCTTGGGACCTGAACCCTAGTCTTCTGACATGTGACCTTGCCTCCCCCTCCCCCTAGGGGAGCACTTATAGACGCTTCACCTTTTTTTTTTTTTTTGGAGAGGTTTTTGCTATAGGGCACGTGTGCTTGCCAGACAGACAGAGAGAGACAGAGAGACAGAAAGTGAGAAATCACC